TGGTGCAGAACAATTCTTGTTGCAGGTGTGTTCTATCTGCTCGCCACGTTTTTACCTTCTTCAAATGTCTCCTCTTTACCATGTACTCCCATAGTTTAAAACCCTAAGGTTTATGTTCTTATCTGCATCGATAGTCACTTTATTGTCAAATCATGATGTTCTTCCCTTATTTTTTATTTAGCTGTTAGCTTTCCTTCATGATCACACTAAAATCCCAGCATCTTCCTAATTTTCTTAACCCTGTGGATAACTATAACCTACATCAAAAGCTTTCCTTTTCTTTCTACATTGAGATTAAAAAACAAAACAAAAAACCCTGTATCAGGCTTTTCATCTGCAAAGTCACGTTTCTCCTATTTTCCTCCTGTGGCCTCTATTCACACACTTACACACTCACTCCGTCACATACACACACACTTACAACACACATACTAACACACATTCACATACACACAAACACTAAATCACACACTCACATACACAGACACACTGACTCACATACACACACACTCACACATTCACTCACACTCACATGCTCACACACTTACTAACTCACGCACTCACAGTAACTCACACTCACCTACTCACATACACACTCACTTACACACTCAGTCACTCAGTCACCATTTACTAAATGCCAGCCACAGTGTTAGGCACCAGGCATACAAAGACCAAAAAGACATGGTCGTGGCCCTCACAGAGCTCGCAGTCTATGCTGTGACTCCTCCAGGGGCCACTGTCATCTGGGAGAGTAAGTTAAGGGCAGTGACTGCAGGCTACACAATGCCTTAGAGAAGCACCGCAGAGGGCACATCATGCAGCCTGGGCTACCAGCAGATGATGCCACATCATCCTTCCAGGAGGAGCATTCCTGGTAGAGGGAACCACATGAGTAAAGCTATGGAGAACAGACAGCATGTTTTACGTCATGTCATGGAGAGTTTTTCCAGGGGGCAAGATCACACCCAACAGGCAACATGAATATAGCTAATGAAGGTTTCTAAGCTAGAGAGTGAAATGACTAGATTTGTGATATAGGAAAACACTTGAGCTGATCTAGGGAACAAAACAGAGACAAGAAGACCAGTCAGAAGGCTTTTCAGATGTTCAGAAGAAGAGCCTCTCAAGTTGAGCAACAGAAGAGAGATAGAGAGGAGGGGTCAGGTTCAAGAAAATGTAGGCTGTAATCTGGTACAACTTGGTCATGACGTGTAAGGGACAGGTGGTGGGAAGAGTCAAGAGTGACTTCTAAGTTTCTTACCTGGGTAACTGGTTATATGGGAAAACCAACAACAGGCTAGAGAAAGAGACCAGAGATATGAGGGAAGGAGCTGAGTTCTCTTTAGGATGTACTGAATTACGTGCCTGTGAGAAATCCAAGAGTATATGCCCATGACCTGTATTGGACAGATCATGAGGCTCAAGGAGACATCCAAGACAGTGTGACAGATAGGGAACCCTCAGTGCAAAGTTGCTTCTATAATCTAGTTTTCGTTTTGTTGTTAAGTGTCATATAGTACTGTATAGTGCTTTGCAGGAGCAGAAAGCCTCATCTTTCTCCTGCAGAGTAGCTGGTGGATTTGAACTGCTGACCTGTGGTTCATGAGTCATGTAAAATGCAGAACTGCACTTGGGATAAAAAACAAAAATGGAGCGAGAGTAAAGACATGTAGCCGTGTTTGCTTCTCTGTGTTGCCAGGCTGTCATGGAGGACTCATGGTAAGAGTTTGGCTGTCCAAATGCAAAGAGCCCTTATAGATCATTTCTCTTTCCTCCTTGTTTTCAGAAGACAGGTGTGCTTCCATCCAAAATCTTCCTATCACCTAAACCAGATGGGTAGCATGTTCCTTTAGCCAAGCACCTGGTAAGATGCTCATCTGTCCCTGAAGAAAAGAGACTGGGACCCCAGTGTGTTCACAGGTTTGTACTGAATGCACTGAAAGCTGCATTCCTGCAGTGGTTCTTAAGCAGGGAAGTCTGTCAGAATTATCAATGGAGACTTTCTTCAAATTACTCCAGCTGCCCCTGACCTGCTCCCCTCACCAGGGAATTTTGATTTTGGTGAGTGTGTGATACATCGGTAACCTAATCTGGTGCTTTCTCAAACGCTTCACAGGTGATGAGAGAATGACCGTCTTTTGAGGCTGCACTGTCTGCTGTTTTCCAGGTGTACTGAGTTGAATACTCTCCATTGCCATTAAGTGGATTCTGATTCATAGTGACCCTGTATAGAGTTTCCAAGGCTGTATATCTTGATGGGAGCGGAAAGCCTCATCTTTCTTTTGTGGAGTGACTGGTGGGTTTGAACAGCTGACTTTGTTGTTAGCAGTCCAATGCTTATCCTACAGTACCACCAGGGCTCTTTCTGAGTTGAATAGGGTCCCTCTAATATTCATGTTCACCCAGGACCTTGTAACATGACCATGCAGTTCAGTGATTACTCTATATGGCTTTTCTACCCATAGTGTTTGTAACCACATTTCTGCCCTGCTAGATCTGGGCAAGAGAAGATGGGAGAAATTGCTGATAGGATGATATGATTCAGTTGAGATTGTTAACAGAGTTAACTGGGATTGGAAAAATTTGGTACTCTGATGCAGATTTAAAATGAGTCATCTTAGGCGCAGGAGGGAGGATCTCACTACCACAAAAGAAGAGGCAGAAGTGGCGCATGTGCTTTGGACCCAGAGAACCTCCGTGACCGTGACCCAGGGACAGAAAGCTGTGACACCAGAGGAGTGGCAGAGGAGCAGGAGCAGCAGCAGCCCCTAGAGCCAGAGGAGGAGACACAGTGGTGAGCTTCACAGCCCATGGAGCAAGTAAAGCTGAGGCTGGGCAGGAGGCTCACTTGCTGAGTGGGGTACCTCTGGGCACTTAACTGGGGGAGCTAGGTGGTTTTTTTTGTTTTTGATGCACAGAGTTAGAGCTCAGTGCCTTCAGTTTAAGTTTATAATGAAGTGGTGTGCCTTGTGAGAATTTATCACAAGATCTTTGTAACATTCCCAGGCAGAAAGAGGCCTGCCTGTAGGCACAGCTGAGGAGCTGAGGAGAGGTTGTCCTGACTGAAAGAACTGAGCCCTGAGCATTTTGTGATCCTCAGCATGAACCTGTGGTGCTGTGGGTTAAAACGACGGCAAAGTTGTTTGAGCTGCAAGGTCGGCGGTTCAAGCTCACTAGCTGCTCCTCAGAAACCCTATGCAGGGTTGCTATGGGTTGGAACCGACTCTATGGCACTTCACAACAACATCTTCCCTAACATACCCCATAACTGTGAGTGTGTGGTCACTGCAATGAATTATCACAGCCAGCTAATAAAGAGGGCTGGGGGTGAATGTTTTGGTGCTCATTGTTTGCAGACTAGATTTGAAAACAAGATCTTTGCAGATGCAATCAATTACTGTATTTTTGATAAATGACATTTCTATACATATGAAGAAGTTTCAAAAAGTTCATGTAAAAATTCTACTCTTTTAGTTCATTTTTTACCATGAACTTCTTACAGTGAATTGAGTGAAGGTTTACAAAGCAGTATTCAATTGTCCATTCCAGAAATCATACACATTTTGGTTCATGCCATCAATTGCAATTCGCACAGTGTAACATCATGCATCCCACTTCCTCCCTGTAGTTCTTGCTTCTGTTTCTCTTTTCCTAACCCTTCAGAACTTTGCTGTTGGGTAAACGCTGCCTTTTAAATCTCAAACAGTTGATTATTCTAGGGTTTTGTGCCTCTCTAGTGTTACTGCTCCCATTATAGACCAGCCAGTTTTTGCTTTAAAACTGAGTCTTGGGGTGAGTTTTTCCAGACCCGAAGAAGGGTGGTTGCACAGGTCTCTATTGGATCCAATATGCCTGGTCTTTTTTGATTTTGAGTTTTGTTCCATGTTTTTCTCCCAGTCTGTGGAGGCCCTACCAACTTTCAGAGATGCTGGTAGTTGCAGCCAGGCCATTCCCAGTTCTCCGGGTCTCAGAAACCTTTGGAAGTCTCATGTGTAGGTGCATATAACACACATAATGCACACAGGGCATGTGACCATGGGCAGGGTGTGGGGGTGCTCTTCAGTTGGGGGGGATGGGGACCCAAACCAGCCAAATATGGCTGTATTATTTATGTCAAAATATGGTAAATTATGGTCAGACTGGAATCCTGGGGTGGCACTGCAGGTGAATGCACTGGATTGCAAGGTTGGTTTGAACTGCAAGGTTGGCAATTCAAGCTCACTAGCTGCTCCTTGGAAATCCTATACAGGTGGCTATGGGTTGGACCTGACTCAATGGCTCATAACAACAGCAACATGGTCATACTGGCTTAGGGTGAGCTCTAATCCGTTAAGTGGTGTCTTTATAAGAAAACAGACATAGAATACAGGGAAGAATGCCATGCAAAGACAGAGTCAGAGACTGGAGTGATGAGTCTACAAGCCAAGGAATTCCAACCAACAAAAGATAGGGGCTAGGTAAGGAACATATTTTACTCAGCGCATCCAGAAGGAATCAACACTAATGATGACCTAGATTTTACACTTTGGGTCTCCGGAACTGTGGGAATACATTCTGGTTCTTTCAAGCCATAGTATCTGACTGACCTAAAGAGTTGTCTTCTATGCATAGGCCATATGCACGTTTCCAACAATGATTACTAATCTTATCCTGTTTCTTTTTCTTCATATAATTTGCCACCACGTGATAATCTATTATGCATATATTCAGTTGGTTGCTAATTAGTTATATCTTCTCCACTAGACTGTAAATGTCCTGAAAAGAAGGACTGTCTTGTTCACTCTTGTATTTTCAACACTTAATATTAATGTTTGGAATAAAGTAAATGCTCAATAAATATTCTTGAACACATGTTTTTACCGGCTAATGTTTGTTATTTAATAGGAAATATCTTTCAGCTTTGAACATGATGATTCTTTTATGATCTTTGAAATATAAGCAAAAACCAAACACCACACTGAAATGAATAAAAGTATATAGTATGTATAAAATCTACATACCTTAGCATAGTCTATTCTTCCTTTTTGTTGAGCCTAAAATTAGAAAAGAGAGAATATTAATTCACTAGTTGTTTAAAAAAATGTTCTTTGCTTCTCAAAGTATCGATGTGCATACACATACACACACATGTTGATGTTGTTAAGTGCCGTTGATTTGATTCCAACTCATAGCGACCCTTTATAGGGTTTCCAAGGAGCAGCTGGTGAGTTTGAACTGCTGACCTTGCAGTTCAAATGGCTTTGCAGTCTGGCGCAATAACCCACAGTGCCTACCAGGACTCCATACATATAATACATGGAGCTTGAAAAGGTCATGGAAATTATGGAATAAAAATATAATTATCCACAAACTTTTTGAAGTCCCCTTATATTTAGTTGTATTTGTTAAAGCAGTAATTAGTGGAAATCATTAGACAATCTCTTTGATATCCCATTTGAGTAGTTTTACTAAAGGTAATACAAAAACGGCTACAAGCATACATTGACAGAGAACTTTCAGAGGTTCAAGCCAGATTCAGAAGAGGGCGTGGAATGAGGGATATCACTGCTGATGTCCAATGGATCTTGGCTGAAAGCAGAGAATATCAGAAAGATGTTTACCTGTGCTTTATTGACTATGCAAAGGCTTTCGATTGCCTCATGACAAGCTATTACCAACATTGTGAAGTATGAGTATTCAGGAACACGTAATTGTGCTCATGAGGAATCTGTACCTGGACCAAGAGGCAGTTATTCAAACAGAACATGGAAACACTGAATGGTTTAAAATTAAGAAAGGTGTGTGACAAGGTTGTATTCTTTCACCATACTTATTCAACCTGTATGCTGAGCAAATTATCTGAGAAGCTGGGTTCTATGAAGAAAAACGTGGCATCAGGATTGGAGGAAGACTCATTAACAATCTGTGATATGCAGATGATACAACCTTGCTTGCTGAAAGTGAAGAGGACTTCAAACATTTACTGATGAAGATCAAAGAGCACAACCTTCGGGTTGGATTACATCTCATTGTAAAGAAAACAAAAAACCTCACCACTAGACCAATAAACAACATTCTTATCAACAGAGAAAAGATTGAAGTTGTCAAGGACTTCATCCTTCTTGGATCAACTATCAACACTCACGGAAGCAGCAGTCAAGCAATCAAACTATCTGCTGCACAAGACCTTTTTAAAGTGTTGAAGAGCAAAGATGTCATGGTATTTTCAATAACCTCATATGCATGTGAAAGCTGGACAGTGAATAAGGAACACCATAGAAGGATTGATGCTTTTGAGTTATGGCGTTGGAGGAGAATATTGAAAGTGCCATGGGCTGCCAAAAGAACCAATAGATCTGTTTTGGAAGAAGTGCAGCCAGAGTGCTCCTTGGAGGTCAAGATGGCCAAACTTCATCTCTCATACTTTGGACATATTGTCAGGAGGGACTAGTGGCTGGAGAAAGATATCATGTTTGGTAAGGTGGAGGGTCAGAGAAAAAGAGGAAGACCCCCAACGAGATGGATTGGCCAAGTGGAAGCATCTATGGACTCAAGCATGGGAACAATAGTGAAGCTGGCCGAGGATCGGGCAGTGTTTCATTCTGCTGTGCATAGGGTCGCTATGAGTCAGTACTGACTTGATGGTACCTAACAACAACAACAATTTAGAATAAACTAAGTAGATCCTTTAGATAACACCATATTTTAAAAATGATATTTGCTAGTGGAAAGCATTTTCCTCTAAATACATTAAACTGCTAGTGTGATGGTTTTCTGTGGAACTGCTCGTTTTAATTTCCCTCAACCTTTCATTATGGACATTTCCAACATTTAGAACTGGAAAGAACAGAACAGAGCACATACATGTACACTCTATCTAGACTGGCAGTAGCAGACCTCAAGACTCTCCCGCCTTACATGCATCAGCATATAGCACATAAGCACTGGGTATATCATACCTAACCATATGACCAGTATAAACTTAAAAAAAAAAGAAACAATGTAATATCATCTAACATACAGTCCATATTCAAACTTTCCCAAATGTCCAAAGAAGATCTTTTATAGCTTTTTCCACAAACTAGGATCACACATTGGGCTTCAAAAAGAAAAAAAACAAATATTTCACAGTTGTGAAATATGTATAGCAAAAAAATTGCTATTTTTACTATTTTAAAGTGTACAATTGTTGTTAAGTGCTGTTGAGTTGGTTCTGACCCATAGTGACCCTGTGTAGGCTTTCCGAGACGAGGCTGGTGAGCTTGAACTACCAACCTTGCAGTTCAAACAGCTTTAGGTGACATTAATTACATTTGCCACATTGTACAACTACTAACCACTATCCATTTCCAAGAGTAGTACATCACCTCAAATGGAAGCCCCGAACCTCCCATCCCTGGCTTCCCCAAACCTTGGTAACCACTAATAAACTTGGGTCTCTGTGAATTCCTCTTTTAGATATTTCCTGTAAATGGGATCATACAATATTTGTACCTTTGCATCTGACAATTTTCACGCAGCATTATTTTCAAGGTTGATCTCTGTGGTAGCATGTCTCAGCACTTCATTTTTCTTTATGGCTGAATAATATTCCATTGTATATATAGACTGACATTTGTCTTATGTCTACGTCTAGCTGTTGTGAATAATGCTACCATGAATATCGGTGCTCAAGCATCTGTTTGAGTCCCCGCTTTCAGTTCTCTGAGGTATTGAATTAACTATGTTGAGGAGTGCAATTGCTGGAACATACAGTAATTCTATGTTTAACTTCTTGAGGAGCTGTCAAGCTGTTTTCCACAGTAACTGGCACCATTTTACAATTCCACCAATAATTTCTTCACATCCTCACCAACACTTGTTTCATTTTTCTGATAATAGCCATCCTGTTAAGTGCCATTAATTTGGTTCCGATTCATGTTGTTGTTGTTAGGTGATGCCGAGTTGTTTCCGACCCATAGCCACCCTATGTACAACAGAAAAAAACAACACCTGGTCCTATGCCATCCTCACAATTGCTTGAGCCCATTGCTACTACCAAACAGGATGGTCCAGAGA